GGAATGATGGTCTTTTTCTTGTATTTGTCTCTCCTTCACTCTCGTAAATGTCAGGTTAGCCTAAGATTTATTAATTAATTACCCCAAGCGGAGCTCGTATGAAACTTGAGACCTCACTCTTTGACCATGCAAAATTTATCTAAGCATTAACTTTTTTCACTCTATCCTTGATGAGTTTCACTTTGTAGGCTCGTTTGAATTCATGTGCACATGTCCCTTCTGCATTTCATCCTTAGTTTGATTATTTATGTTTATAATATGCAACCCTCACATATTATTATTTATTTATCTAATTTGCATAATAGGTGTCTTTTAGTTCATTATTATACTGAAATACTATTATGATTATTCATGACCACTTTATATAAATGTTGATTATAAGGAATATAAATACATGCCTTCAGGTGGACACTACAGATGCTAGAGGATCAATTCAAAAAGTTCAATTCATAAAAGTTTAAATAAAATCATTTAAATTCATCAAATTAGAACAAGAAGGAGATGATGAAGATCTTAAAAAAGATGATTCATGTCCAAGTTACAGACTGTGCAGTGAATACATTCAGAACTACAACTACTTTAATACTTCAGCTGGATAATCAGTCTGACAAGAACAGAACATCTGAGAGTAAAATCATCTACTATAAGAGAGAACTGAAGATTAGATCATAAACCAGGTGAACCAGGTAGATGTGTGTTAGTAGACTGACAGTGAGGTGATGATGATGATGATGATATGAAGGTGAACCAGGTAGATGTGATTTTGTAGACTGACAGTGAGGTGATGATGATGATGATGATGAAGGTGAACCAGGTAGATGTGATGTTAGTAGACTGACAGTGAGTGATTATGATGATGATGATGATTATGATGAAGGTGAACCAGGTAGATGTGATGTTAGTAGACTGACAGTGAGGTGATATGATGATGATGATGATGAAGGTGAACCAGGTAGATGTGATGTTAGTAGACTGACAGTGAGGTGATGATGATGATGATGATGATGAAGGTGAACCAGGTAGATGTGATGTTAGTAGACTGACAGTGAGGTGATGATGATGATGATGATATGATGATGATGATGAAGGTGAACCAGGTAGATGTGATGTTTGTAGACTGACAGTGAGGTGATGATGATGATGATGATGATGAAGGTGAACAGGTAGATGTGATGTTAGTAGACTGACAGTGAGGTGATGATGATGATGATGATGAAGGTGAACCAGGTAGATGTGATGTTTGTAGACTGACAGTGAGGTGATGATGATGATGATGATGATGAAGGTGAACCAGGTAGATGTGATGTTAGTAGACTGACAGTGAGGTGATGATGATGATGATGATGAAGGTGAACCAGGTAGATGTGATGTTAGTAGACTGACAGTGAGGTGATGATGATGATGATGATGAAGGTGAACCAGGTAGATGTGATGTTAGTAGACTGACAGTGAGGTGATGATGATGATGATGATGATGAAGGTGAACCAGGTAGATGTGATGTTTGTAGACTGACAGTGAGGTGATGATGATGATGATGAAGGTGAACCAGGTAGATGTGATGTTAGTAGACTGACAGTGAGGTGATGATGATGATGATGAAGGTGAACCAGGTAGATGTGATGTTAGTAGACTGACAGTGAGGTGATGATGATGATGATGATGATGAAGGTGAACCAGGTAGATGTGATGTTAGTAGACTGACAGTGAGGTGATGATGATGATGATGATGATGAAGGTGAACCAGGTAATGTGATGTTAGTAGACTGACAGTGAGGTGATGATGATGATGATGAAGGTGAACCAGGTAGATGTGATGTTTGTAGACTGACAGTGAGGTGATGATGATGATGATGATGATGAAGGTGAACCAGGTAGATGTGATGTTAGTAGACTGACAGTGAGGTGATGATGATGATGATGATGATGATGATGATGATGAAGGTGAACCAGGTAATGTGATTAGTAGACTGACAGTGAGGTGATGATGATGATGATGATGATGATGATGATGATGAAGGTGAACCAGGTAGATGTGATGTTAGTAGACTGACAGTGAGGTGATGATGATGATGATGATGAAGGTGAACCAGGTAGATGTGATGTTTGTAGACTGACAGTGAGGTGATGATGATGATGATGATGAAGGTGAATCAGCAGCTTCTTCTCTTTGTTTTCTCCACAGCTGAAGATCTTTGACTGGATGTGACTTCAGCAGTTGAACTCCATCAGTGTTGTTGTAGTGACAGAGTGCAGCTCTCCCAGCAGGGGGCGCTCTGCCATGGATCAGTGTGAGGACACAGAGGAGGGAGTCCCTCCCTCTAAAACCTCTCTGTGTGAGGAACATGAAGCTCTGAGGTGAGGATCTCTAACTGTCCATGACTCTTCTCCATGTCACAGCTCAACACTCACATCACTCCACCTTCATCATCATCATCATCATCATCATCATCATCATCATCATCACCATCATCATCATCATCATCATCATCATCATCATCATCATCATCATCATCACTGTCTCATCTGCTGCTCACAGTAACTAATAATGTTGTTTTTTTGTATCAGGATGCAGGAACAGAGACCAGACTCTCCTGGACCCAGCTGTGTGTCCATGAAGAGTGACCGGTCTATGGGTCGCCCTGTGAACTTTAAAGCTGGACGTCCTGCTGATGGAAGGTGAGATCTGAAATTGACAAAGAGCTCTGTTCTGCTTTTCTGTAGGCTCACTCTTTCATCCTCAGCCATTTACATCACTCTCAGTCTTCAGTCCATGTTCACCTCTCCCAGGACTCGTACTTTTCTCCTGTTTCTCCTACTTCTCCACCAGAGGTCCTCAGAATTCACCTCCTTCTCTTCTAGGTTTCAATAGCCCAGACCTTCCCCTCTACTCTACTCACCTGTCTTCATTTTCCTCATCAGCTTCATTTTGTTTTCCTACCACTTCATGATCATTGTGTGCTTTGGTTCTATCTTGTGTTTTTTAATTTGAAGTGTTTGTATTTGAACCCTGACCTTCCTGAAGGCTGTAAAATGTGGAAAAGAATCATTTTATTGCAGCTGTGAGTCCATTTATTTTTGCATTTGGGTCCTTCCCTGCGCCCTATTTCCCCGACCCTGTCAGAACTTAACCTGCCTGACACAGAACCAGCCGACAGTGTGATGGACTTTATGACTTTAAAGCAAAAACAGCCCTACTAGAAAGAAGCTAAATATTCTTAGACAAAGTCAAAATAATAGGCCAAACCTTAAAAAGAAACGAATCTGAGGAAAGATTTATTTTTGGGCTGTATCATGAAGACTGCAGACAAAGATCTTCAAAGCTCTTGAGTGTTTTTACAAACCTTGTAGGATCCATATTCTGGACAATATAAAAACTACTGTGGTGGTTCAAGCAGCACTTATTCCCATCTGAAGTGATGTCAGTCTGAAGACTTTGTCCCAGAAGTGAGTTCCAGGTTGAGGTTCCTGAAGTTGTTATGGACAAGTTCTTGATCTTGATCTGTTCTGTATCCTAACAGTAGATGCTGCTCGTTGTAAATGCTGCTCGGTCTCTAAATTTACTAAGAGAGGTAGAGCCTTCAGTTATCAGGCCTGCTCGTGGTTCCTACAGTCTCTAAATGTACTATGGGAGGTAAAGCCTTCAGTTTTCAGGCTCCTCTACTCTGGAATCATCTTCCAGTGGGGTACGGGAGGCAGATACACTCTGTATTTTAAAGAAAAGACTTAAAAGTAACTATAAATTGTATAGTTAGGGCTGGCGCTGGTGTAGACCAGCTCCTAGTTATGCTGCTATAGGCTTAGACTACTGGGGGAACTGGCACCTTGAGCTCCCATATCTCCCTCCCTCTCTCTCTCTCTCTCTCCCTCTCTCTCTTTCTCTCTCTCTCTGTTAGATCATATTACTGCATGTTGCTATCTGTAAATCTCAGTTACTAACCACAGCATCTTTCTTAGCTGTGTTTATCTTTAAGTCATCTTCTGATAACTTTAATTTCATCAGTCTGAAGAATTTGAGGACAGACACAGTGTTGGCTGTATTCTGAGTGAGATACTGTTCTAATAGAAACAGAGAGAACTGTGGAGAACTTCACCTCTGCCTCCTGATTACTGATTATCCATCTGCCAGTTTAAACTGGAACAATCTGATTAAAAATGATCTTTGTTCTAAATGCTTTCATTAACCAGCTGTTTTTTTGTATCAGGATGCAGGAACACAGACCAGACTCTCCTGGACCCAGCTGTGTGTCCATGAAGAGTGACCGGTCTATGGGTCGCCCTGTGAACTTTAAAGCTGGACGTCCTGCTGATGGAAGGTGAGATCTGAAATTGACAAAGAGCTCTGTTCTGCTTTTCTGTAGGCTCACTCTTTCATCCTCAGCCATTTACATCACTCTCAGTCTTCAGTCCATGTTCACCTCTCCCAGGACTCGTACTTTTCTCCTGTTTCTCCTACTTCGCCACCAGAGGTCCTCAGAATTCACCTCCTTCTCTTCTAGGTTTCAATAGCCCAGACCTTCCCTTCTACTCTACTCACCTGTCTTCATTTTCCTCGATCCCCTTTATTTAGTTTTCTCACCACTTCATGATCATTGTGTGCTTTGGTTCTATTTTGTGTTTTTTCTTTTGAAGTGTTTGTATTTGAACCCTGACCTTCCTGAAGGCTGTAAAATGTGGAAAAGAATCATTTTATTGCAGCTGTGAGTCCATTTTTTTCTGCATTTGGGTCTTTCCCTGCACCCTATTTCCTGACCCTGTCAGAACTTAACCTGCCTGACACAGAACCAGCCGACAGTGTGATGGACTTTATGAATTCAAAGCAAAAACAGCCCTACTAGAAAGAAGCTAAATATTCTTAGACAAAGTCAAAATAATAGGCCAAACCTTAAAAAGAGACAAATCTGAGGAAAGATTTATTTTTTGGCTTTTTGTTCTGTTATTTAGAGACGGGACAGTAGATAGAGTCAGAAATCAAGGAGAGAGAGAATGGGGAATGACATGCAGGAAAGGAGCCACAGGTCGGATTTGAACCTGAGCCACCCACTTGGAGGGCTACAGTCTCCCTACATGGGATACACACACTAACCGCTAGTCCACCAGCACCCCAATTAAAGCATTTTTATTGAATTAATATATTTGTTTTTCCCTCAGGTAGAATGAAAGTCCTCTCCTTCCTCACTCCCAATGATGACCAAAACAAACAGACATACTGTCCACAATATCAGATTTCATTCACTGAGAGTCTGCTTCTGCATGTCCATTTTAAAGCATGCACCATCAAGGATGGGAGCCATGGTTTAAAAACTGTGATTAGAGGATTATGGTCCACGAGGTGGATGTTGGATGTCCTGACTTTGCCCACAGCCCAGATCCTGAACCTGATGAGGTTCTGCTGGTGAGATGTTGGGCATTGAAAGCTGCAGGTCAAGTTCACTAACCTACCTGGTCCATACATCCTGCTGATCCAGCTGACCATTGTACTGATATCTGACTACACTTTCTCCTGGACTACATAGTTTAACACTTGATCCTTGTTTTAGTGAATGGTACCTGAGTCCAGCTGAGGCATGTTTAGTACATTAGGGATGATGTCATGGTGGTATACTAAACATTTGGTCCAGTGATCTTGACAGGACACTGGTGAGCAGATGTATCATGAAGACTGCAGACAAAGATCTTCAAAGCTCTTGAGTGTTTTTACAAACCTTGTAGGATCCATATACTGGACTTACTCACAATATAAAAACTACTGTGATGGTGCAAGCAGCACTTATTCCCATCTGAAGTAATGTCAGTCTGAAGACTTTGTCCCAGAAGTGAGTTCCAGGTTGAGGTTCCTGAAGTTGTTATGGACAAGTTCTTGATCTTGATCTGTTCTGTATCCTAACAGTAGATGCTGCTCGTTGTAAATGCTGCTCGTCTCTAAATTTACTAAGAGAGGTAGAGCCTTCAGTTATCAGGCCTGCTCGTGGTTCCTACAGTCTCTAAATGTACTATGGGAGGTAGAGCCTTCAGTTTCAGGCTCCTCTACTCTGGAATCATCTTCCAGTGGGGTACGGAGGCAGACACACTCTGTATTTTAAAGAAAAGACTTAAAAGTAACTATAAATTGTATAGTTTAGGGCTGGCGCTGGTGTAGACCAGCTCCTATTATGCTGCTATAGGCTTAGACTACTGGGGGAACTGGCACCTTGAGCTCCC